ACATGTCACTATCTTTATACAAGATAATAATAATAATCAATACAATAATGATAATCACAATAACTTAAATAATAAAACAAAGCTGCGAAAACAACAAAATAAACACGAGACACTTTGTTGATATGACCTGCTGCGTCACAATCGGGATAGGCAACCGACGATACCGATTCGGCGTTTTTGGCGGAAAATATCTGATTTGAATTTAAATTCGCTTTATAATTATTATAGAGACTTTTTTTGCACAAAAAACTATATCACTGTAATGTTTGCCATAACTACTTTCTATATATCAACATACAAAAAAAGTGAAAACACCCTATTATCGAACACCAACTGGAGCTGAGCGCTAAAGTTCTTGGTATTAAATAGAACACTCAGTATGTTTATGTATTTTTCTATTTAGAAGGTAAAACTAAGCAACATTTTGCTGAAGCAGTTAATCGACTATTTGTTTAGGTACATGATTGAATTTATTATTATTTTTGAAAATTTCTAACATGCCTGTTATTCTTCTATAAATGGAAGTATGGAAAAATGCTTCCGGCTAATAAATCTTCAATAATCTCTACTGAAAGCTTGTTTCTTGTTTATTCACCCCATAGTTCAATAGCGTGCTTTTTTGGTCAATTTAAAATTGAAAATGCCTTAAACAGCTGTGGCTATCGAGTCACGAAACATCCTGTATCAAAAAGTAACTTCCTTAGATTGAATGCAACACCGTGTAAGTGAGGTAATTGGCAAATGCAAAATTTATCTGCCGTGAGCATTTATAATAGAATCTAAATGGATGAATGCTAATTTCTCGTTTCTCTTTCTTGTGCTTTTTTGGAATCGGCTATGGATAGACGAAAAAACCATTAAACAATTAATTGTCTAGAATGAAAATGCGATTAAAGATCTAAGAAGTTTTGATCTGCAATGCCATGTTTTTAAATTAATTTTTGTTTTCACTTTGGATTTTTGTTTGCTAATGGGATTGAGATCTCCATTTTGTGAATAATGTTTTATTTCATCGGTAAAAGATGCCTGTTTAGCTGTTTAGGTTAATTGCTCAATAGAAAGCGGCAGAAAAAAAAACATAATTTTCCTTGGACGAACATTTCCACTGTAACAAGCTATAAAAGTTATATTTTATACTTATATGAATTAATTCGGCAATTTTGTAAAATGTTGTTTTCCGATTCGTAACGGTTGTAATGTTTTGTTGTCCTGTTTGTAAAAGTTGAATTGTTTTCAATAATTGCGTTTTATTAGTAATAAAATACACCTTACATTTTGAGCTAAAATGTGGCTTCCAGCGATATTCAAAGTCAATTATTCAAGTTATTCAAAGTCAATATTGTTACTCATATAAATTTTTATTTCTAAAATTTTCTAGTTTGAAACTGTTTTCCTGCTGCTTATTACAAATATTGATAAATACCAGATCTTCATGTTTATAGAAATATTTTTGAATTATCTTTACCTAATCATGAAGAATGAGAATTACTGAGTTGGACCACAAACGTTCCAGAACTATGACTAAAAAAAGTGGCCGAATTAGATCAGATGATTAGATGAGATAATGAAAAACGAGAAGAGTGAAATGTTTAGCTAACGGTTTGCGGAAAAAATAGTGGTTTTTCCTGAATCAGCATTTCCGCAAATAGGCTATCACCAGGGCTCAAAACTGTATTACGATCATGAACAAACTCCAAAAATGAAATAAAAATGTCTGTACTTTTAGTTTCAGACCTTCTCTTGGACCTTGTTATCTGATAAAAAAGCTGCATTTCCAATTTAAACTCTCAATATTTTAAAAATATAGATTCTTGGTCTGCTTTAGTATCTTCTGGTTTTCGTCGTTTGTTTTGAATTTGCTGAATTCGGTGTTTCTGTTATTTTCCAACCACATTGTAAAGTTACAAGGGCAATTAAAGTTTTTCTTAAAAATATCCTTTTTTAGCGATTTCGCCAACAATTAGCGCCATTGCTTGCAGGCACTTTCCATACCTTTTAAGTGCTTGGCAGGCGTCGCTTCAAGAGATAAACTGATTTGTTTGCCCCAAAAAGGTGCAACTTCCAAACCTCCAGCCATACATTATCAATACGCAAATTACACGCCTCACTCACACCGCGACACTCCGGAAGAAAACCCATTGCGAAAATACCATACTTGCAACAACAAATCGTCGCCTAATTAACAAAAACTGCCTTAAAAACGCCATTCCGTGTCGAGTACTTATTAGCAACAATCTACAGGGTGTGCCCTTAATTGCTGTAGAAAACCTTTCGGGGCCGGTATTGATTAGCGCAGCATCTGCTCGAGTATTTTTCTCTTCGGTGAGTCAATTGAGTCCGCATGGTTCACCTGTAAAATTGGCGCAAATCCAATTTAGTGAGGGCATGACGGAAGCCCAGGTACGTGACATCATTTTCCTCAATTACTGCTGATAGATTCATGCTTCGGTAGTACCCGACTGAATTTTAGATGAGTCTGCATTCACTAGCTCAAGATCACGTTGCTGGAGACAATCAATTGATTCATTCACGTATATTTTGAAACAGATAAAACCATTCTTTTAATTATCGAGTTTTGTTGGGAAAGAAATGTGTGTTTGATGAAACGCTTCAACAGCAAAAAATGTCGGTTTTGCAGTCTTATTACTTAAAGCAAACAATCTACTTTTTCTCTGTGTAGTCAAGCAATTAAGACGATTCGATTAAAGCCGTTAAACTTTCGCGGCAATTGCTTCAAACTGCCGAGTTTTTCGGGTCTTTAGGCGGTCATTAAAAACAATTTCTTCTTGACGTTTCGCAAGTACGAGACGTGCATCTTCAGCTACTTCTGAAGAAGGAAGCCACTCATGCATGCGAAACGTCATAATGAAATGATTTTCCACGATGGCCCGAAAAAGTAATCAGTTTCAATAACAAACGATTCTATTTTACACAGAAAAGTGTTTTTTAAGCAAAAAACTGGACTGAAAACAGTTAAATGGCCGAAAAATAGTCACGCCTTGGTTTGTGTTAAATTGCCGGCAAAACCCATTATTTATTACAGATCGACTTTAATAGAATTTCGCGTTTAATTTCATTGAACATCTTTAAGGAGATTAGCAGGAACAAAATCCACCGTGTCCCATTTTGGCCTAGCTTGTTTTTTCCTGGACATTCACCTGGAACTTGTGTTGTTGTTTTCTTCGGGAACCGAATTAATTAAATTTAGACCGAGCAGACGTGCATTTGCATTTGGATAATGCAGAAAATCCAATATGTCTCACGAAACAATCCGATTTTGAACATTTTACGACTTCCGCCTTTCTAGTCCAAAATAGTTGCGCGTCTATTATTCGTCGAGCAAAATCAGATGCGAAGTGAAGCAACAAAAAGACGGGCACTTAAAATGTCTTGTCGTGTTTTATGACTATGGCATCAGCTAGAAATAGCCGGAATTTGAAAAAGTTGGAAAAATACGGATTTGCAAGATACTTCTAGCGCGACCCGCTTGTTTACTTGCTTTTTTCGCTTTGGCAACGATATTGGAACAGCAGCAAAAAGCAAACAGGATTGGCTTTGATTCATTATTCCAAACAAATCTAACAGACATCTTAGTATAAAACGTTTAAAAAGGAATAATAACTTTTTCCATTATGCAGGTTGTCCGCCGAAGTGTTTGCGATTTGATCGACTCTACTAAGGGTGGTAGTTTCACGCAAAAATAATTCCTGTGAAATGTTTGCAACTCCCAATGGTTTAAGAAATACGGCTTAAATGTTTATCTGTCTGTGTTTAGCTTATTTTTGTCAAAATAATATGCAAACGCACGACTTTTAATCAAAAATTTGAGGCAACAACGACTCGATTTAAACTAATAATTAATAACAAAGTTGAAAGCGCATCTTGAACTCTTATGATCATCGACAAATAAACTGGGAGCTTTTTTCATGTTCGTTTTATAGACAATTTGCTGATTTTTGCGAAACATTCGAAGATATTGCCATAAAACGCTTTGCAAAAGCAAATTCTCGGAATGTTACTGTTTTAAGTGAGCGTTTTAATTTAAATCTGGAAAATACATTATATTACATGTGCTTTAAAAACGCAAAACAGGCCAAGATACACGACCAACCACAGGAAAATAGTGTTTTAGTTGGACCTAACTTGAGCCGATTTGGAAAAAAGATGCAGTTTTAATCTGTTTTTCTTCGGTTGAAAACCGTTGTTAGTTCGGGATAGTTAACCAATAGAGAGCAAATTTTTAAAATTTTCCAGTGATAGAACGCCACACTAGTCAAAAAATTAATTATTAAGTCCAATAAATGATGTTCGGAAAGAAAACATCTGCCGTTGCCAGCCAGCACCATCTATGGTTTCGACCGGTTACACAACCTGATAGATTTGAAGTTGCCGATAAAGCAGTTGCCACGAGTGACAAGTCACCATTCTGACACTGGGTTTAACGGTAAATCGACCTCCGCCGAACAAGATAGTGCCGATAGGTAATTGCGAATTACTAGGAAAATACACCCCTTTCCAGGTGCAAAACGTGAAAAACCTCATGCAATAACCAACCCGAAATCAACGTGCGTTTGACATACAATGACAACGCGGTGGTGATTGTTCGAAAAATCGGTTGCAATAATTCGAACGACCGGATCTGTCAAATTAAGCGTAGGAATACACGTTCGATTCCTTCCCGCAAAAGCTCTGCTGTTGAATCATCTTACATGTGGTGTAAGCCGGCATATTAACTGAAAAGTGCCAGTGAAACTCAAATTGCACATCTACCAAGACAAGTGGGACACTAGAACGATGCAACAAGAAACCATCCAACTCATACAGGTCTTGGAAAAGACGGTGTCGCCCGGTAAGTGCCGTTAAAACGCCTCGATCTGTTCAAGGTGCCAATTATCGTTCGTGTCATTTTTACCCTTGTTTATCCGGACGAAACGCACATGATTCATGCGAATTGCCATTATTGCAATGGTGGATTTGGATTTGTCAATCGAACGAGATAACCTTCTATGCAGTTAAGGTCATTGGCCTATTTGGGTCTCAAAGGAGCCCCATCGAGGTTACTGGATGTTTAGTCCAACTGCACCTTGTTCTCGGCCCATGTTCTTACAAGTTTGCACAGCAGAGAACTCATTTCGTTCTCCACAAACGGTGCAAGCAAAGCTCTGTTCAAGGTTCATATGAAAACATGCTGAACGTTCGACACCTGGTGCTGCTGCACGGGTTTAATAAGTATCCCGTTTTCTGCTCCTAATATCAATAAAACTAAAACTGTTGTGTCTTTTCCATTACAAACCAGTTGGAGCCAAACATCCGAGAATTCTACTCCACCCGAAAAAATCGCTGAAACTTCGCAAGGTTCACTTATAACATGCAAACTGTTGAAAACAGCCACCTCACAATGCATTTGGATGTATTCAATCATTACCGGCTAATTAACGGCCGTCTTCCACAACTACAACTTTTTTCTTTGGTCACACAACACCCAATTCCCGTTTTTGATGCCACATAAATATCCGGCTCTTCTGCTATTGGTGGTCAAAGTTCTTCAAAAATATATCATTTTTTAAATATCCGGATAATGGATGATTGATTTTAATGAAGCTCGCTGTGAATTTGTTCCTATGTGTGAGTCAGGTTTTGATGAAGCAACCGAGTTCAGCCGCTTTGGGCGTCTTGGTACAAAAAGGACCAGAACTTTTTATTTGGTAGCTGAATTCAACTGACAATTAAACGTGATTGTTTGGTAAATTCAACGTAAAACTGTGTTTCAGATAAAAATGACCAAGATCAAGCGTCTGCCTTCTTGGAACAAGCAGCAACAACCAATTTATTGGGCTTTATCAAGACGCTGTCCGACATTCTACGACATGGTAGCAACAGTCCGGTTGCGCGAATGGCTGCAGGGCTACAGCTCAAAAATCAACTAACCGCCAAAGATGAAACCACCAAACAACTGTACCAACAGAGGTGGCTGGCTTTTCCCGAAGACATTCGGGATTATATCAAAAAGAATGTAAGCGGCAAACAAAGCGCAAAAAACAAGGATCTAAAGCAAGTAAACACTTCCAGGTTATTGGGGCTCTCGGTTCGGAAAGTAACCGGCCCTCCTCTTCAGCTCAATGCGTCGCCTATATTGCTGTAACTGAGCTGCCGCAGCGACAGTGGCCGGACTTGATCGCCACTCTGGTCAGTAACGTTATCAACGCCACATCTGAAGAGCAAAAAGAGGCGTCTTTAGAAACCATCGGATACATCTGTTCGGTGCGTATTAACACATTGATTAATAGCGACAGTAATTAATAACAAAAATTTCTGCAGGAAATTGATTCAGATGTTCTAGTCTCACAAGCCAGCGATATTTTAACAGCCATTGTTCATGGCATGCGAGTTACAGAACAGAGCAATCATGTGCGATTGGCTGCCACGCGAGCGCTCCTCAATTCTCTAGAATTTACAAAGGCCAATTTCGATCAGCCAAACGAAAGAAACTACATCATGGAAATCGTATGTGAAGCCACTCAGTCACCAGACACGCAAATCAAGGTAAATGCTACACTTCAACCAATTAAACTATTGAACCTTTTTGCGCCTATATTGGCTTTCTTCCATAAATTGTGCATTTCTTTTTCAGGTCACTGCCTTGGAATGCTTAGTTAAAATAATGTCTCTCTACTATCAGCATATGGAACCCTATATGGCGGTAGCCCTATTTCCAATCACTTTAGAAGCAATGAAGTCGGACAACGATGCAGTTGCTTTGCAGGTGATTTTACCGGCAGTTTCAAGTCAATTTGTACATTTTGATATGACGGTTTCTGTTTCAGGGCATAGAGTTTTGGTCCAACGTCAGCGACGAAGAAGTGGACTTAGCCATTGAAGATAGTGAAGCTCAAGAATGTGGCAGACCGCCATCAAGGTACTGAACTCCACTTGGCTTTGTTGATGACAAATTAATGTTAATCGGGTTTCAGGGTGTCTCGACATTATGCCAAAGGGGCTCTTCAATACATCATGCCAATCTTGCTAGAAAAACTGACGAAACAAGACGGGGGAGACGATGAAGACGATTGGAACCCCAGCAAGGCGGCGGGAGTATGTATCATGTTGCTTGCTACGTGTTGTGAAGACGAGATCGTTCCTCACGTTCTGCCTTTCATTAAAGGTGAGCAAGACAAGGAAATTCATCTATACTCAAATTAAATATTTCTGTTTCCAGACAATATTAGATCTGAGAATTGGAGATTCCGCGATGCCTCACTGATGGCTTTCGGCTCTATTCTGGGCGGATTGGAAAACGCCACACTAAAACCGTTGGTAGAGCAGGCGATGCCCACTCTTATCGAACGGATGTACGACAGCAGCGTTATAGTGCGTGATACAGCTGCATGGACCTTTGGCAGAATCTGCGAAGTTATTCCTGAAGCTGCGATAAGCGAAACCTTTTTGAAGCCACTTCTAGAAAGCTTAATTACTGGTCTAAAGGCCGAGCCCCGAGTTGCTGCCAATGTCTGCTGGGCATTCTCAGGTAAACTCGATCTGCGTGTTTTGTCGTTCGTCTTTTTTATATGTGCTGATTAGGTTTGGCTGAGTCGGCATACGAAGCTGCAAGCAACGAAATTGCCGGTGGAGATGATACTACACCAGAAACCTACTGTTTGTCGCAGTACTTCGAGTTCATTGTACAAAGGTATGCAAATTCAGGCTTATTTGATTTGAAAGCTGCAATAAAAGTTCTTTAGATTGCTGGAAACCACGGACAGGCCCGACGGCGCGCAAGCAAATCTACGTCCTGCTGCCTACGAGGCTTTGATGGAAATGGTGAAGAATTCTCCCAAAGATTGCTACGTTACTGTGCAGAAAACAACCATGGTCATCATGGAGCGACTGCAGCAAGTGAGTTTTTTTATCCGTCTTACAGCTCGCATATCAATGTTCATGTTTTATGCAGGTTCTGCAAATGGAGTCGCACATAAGCAGCCACAGCGACCGCTCTCAGTACAACGATCTACAATCGCTCTTGTGTGGCACATTGCAATCTGTCCTTCGGAAAGTCACTCCAGAGGATGCGCCCCAAATTTCCGATGCCGTAAGTTTACTATGCCAAGCAGTATTCTTGGGAGATCACTAAACGTGTTTGTCTAGGTGATGACTGCTCTTTTAACGATGTTCAACTCCAACAAGAGCGGCGGCGTTCAAGAGGATGCTCTGATGGCTGTGGGCACTCTGGTCGAACTGCTGGGGGAGAATTTTCTCAAATACATGGATGCGTTTAAGCCCTTTTTGTATCTTGGCTTGAAAAATCATCAGGAGTATCAGGTAGGCGGTTTAGCCTAATGCTCATCTATTTTTGTCTCAGTGTTACTTGGGGGTAACTATCCATTTACCTCTGAGCGTCAGGTGAGACATACATAAAACATGTTTTTGCTATGTTTCTTTCAATCACGACTTGTTGAAGGATCTTTGCTGAAAACATGGTACACATGATAAAGATTCTAAAAAATAGGAGCGCGTTTCAACATTATTTCTCGTCAAAAAGGGAGGAGTGCATTTTTTTATTTGATTTCTAGGTGTGCGGAACTGCCGTTGGGCTGACAGGAGACATTTTCAGAGCTCTCAAATTGAAGACGCTTCCGTACTGCGATGAAATAATGACCTTGTTGCTAGAAAACTTGGGAGAACCGACGGTTCATCGCAGCGTCAAGCCGCAGATTCTCTCAGTTTTTGGAGACATCGTCCTTAGCATTGGCTCAGAGTTCCAGAAGTACTTGGAGGTGGTTCTTGCTACTTTAGTTCAGGCTTCCCAAGCACAAGTAAGAACATATCAATGGAAACTGGTCATTTTTTTAAACACATTTCTATTTGCAGGTGGATCGCTCTGATTTCGATATGGTGGATTACTTGAACGATTTGCGTGAAGGGGTGTTAGATGCTTACACTGGCATTATTCAAGGATTGAAAGGCGATGGTCCAACTCCGTCCCCAGACGCAGCTCTGCTGGAGCCGCATATACCATTTATCGTGCAATTTATCACAGTTGTTGCTCAAGATACCGACCATTCTGATGGAACCATAGCAGTAGCTGCTGGTAAGTACTCGTGAAATATTTTCAAGCATTTATATTTATTTGACTATGAAATGAGCCATTTTCTAATGTGTGTTCTTATATTGTTAAAGGAATCGTGGGTGATCTTTGCTCGGGCTTTGGAGCACCGATGTTACCCCTGCTGGATCTGGAGCCGATTAACGAAATGTTGGCACAAGGTAGAAGATCGAGAGTATCTCGCACCAAAACATTGGCATCCTGGGCAACTAAGGAACTTAGGAAATTAAAAATGAATTCCGTACAAGCCCCAACGGCGCCGGCAGCCAGTTGGTAAGTCGCTGAATCTAGAGATTCAACTAAACATTCACTCTTGATGGTGAAAAATTATTTCTTGACAATAAGTTTTAACGTAACCCGTACTGTTTCTGTGCAGGAAGGTTGTCGAGATTCAACACAAATTTTATTGATGGACGGGAATTGTAAGTTTTGTGTGTGTGTGTGTGTAATTGTTAACCAGCGCCAATGCATGACTGGCTATTTTGAGCGAGTGCTTGAAACTGTTGGACGATTGAAAGCGAAGAATTTGTGTTTATTTTATCATCATCTTGGTGTTTACGACAAGCAAAAGTACGACTTATTTTCACCGAATGAACGATGCTGGAAGTGTTTATGGTCGTTGGGATCCAAAAGGTAGTTCCTTGGACTATTTCAGATATTTGCGTTTTGTTTTTCGAAGAGCGTGTTTTTTAACAATTAATAAAGTTTATTTGAATGCTTTATTTTTCAACATTAAATTAGTTTTGATTACCTGGTTGATCCGACTATGAAATAATAAACAAACTTTGCTCAACCCACAACTTGTTGGTTTCAAAACTGGTGAGTTTCTGGCTTTAGACCATCGTTAAATAATTTTTTTCCCTGACGTTTTGCAAGCTACCACTCGGCACCACTTTCAGGCAAGGAACGCGAAAGTATGTCTTTATAAATGTATGTTTAAACTTCCAGATTCCATAGGAGCCACGCCCAATATCCATTAACAAACGCTGGCTACTCACGGAATACTTCTGAGCACGTGGTCGATGGGCAGTACTATGATTTAGTACCAGTTTAGTACTTTGCCTTGGTTTAGTGTGCCGCGAGTGACTCAAATGTGTCGTAAAAACGTTTAGTTTTAATTAATTTCAAGGTTTCGCATGAACATGGAAGTCAAATCGCTTCTTCGAATGTCCGAACGGGAAAAATTGCGCGTTTTTAAGTAGAACTGATTTTATTCTTTCGTACAATTTTTGGAACCGAATAAAACGCGCAGTTTTTACTAAATTATATTTCTAGGATCGTTTTGAATTGAACAAAATTGCAACGAATGTTCGGCTATTTTTACAAATTGATGATTAAAAAAAATTGCAAATGTATTCACCTCCACCAATTTCGTGCGCCTAAAGAACAATTGTAAGAATAGTCCAACTGCCAACTGTTTTGTTACCTTATATACTTTACACTATATTATTAGTAAATGCTGCTTTAGTAAAACTGTTTAAATACTTGCGAGCGTTTAAATGTTGTTCAAGGCAAAACGAGTAGTTGATACTTTCATTTTTGCTCCATCTTTCTGGCTCAAAAAAGCGATTCTTACCGACGCTGCGCTTATATATTTATGAAAATCAAACGCACGGTGCTGGTCGTTATTTTGGGCCTAAATCGATCCAGTACTAAATTGAAATCTTTGATAGTGAATGCGTCTGGGTCGGTGCTGCGAGGAATTTGGATTGAAAGTTTCATTATTTAAGCTTCCTGAGTTCCATTAAGTATGTAACGATTCAAATCAGGACATATGAATGGTGAAGAAAGGTGAGAAAAGTTCTGCTCGTGGCGTGATGATTTGAAAAGTCGATGGTAAGTGTTGATGAAAGTTTTTTGGTTCAAGGCTCGATCGTGCCTTGTCTGGGTGGGTGGGTAGTTGTGTGTCAGAAATTAGAGGATTTTTACTGATTAGTTAATTGTTGAATGCCTTCTGGACGTCTGGTTGATAATTTATGTTTGAAAACTAGAATGTGGCTTACCGGTACAAAAAGCTGAAAATGCAACCATGAATTTTTTAGAGTCATAATGTGATAGCACATTCTAGCGATTCTCCTGAACAAGGGAGGTGCCTTACTTTGTTATAAAACCAACCAGTAATTTTAGCGACCACTGCAATTTGTTAAATTGCGTTGGTTTCTACAATAAATGGTATATTTGTGGCTTGATACATTTGGTTATCTCCCTATAAGTACACCATATTTTATGTGACCAGTGAATTTTAATGAGTCCAGGAAAATTTCATTTTTTATAGATAATTTTACATGCCAAGTCCTTTATATTTCTGGCACAATGTGTGAACCAATCAAAAAGCTGTCGCTTTCTGGTAAAGCGACGGCTTGGGGAGGGCTAGATTATAAGAACTAAAGAATCTGTGATTTGGAAAGGTTTCTAAAACGTTGCCAAAAAAGTGAATTCCATTAGTTTTTTAAATCAATTATTACATAAATAATGTTAATGTAAGTAGAAAAGAAACCTTTCCAATGTAAACGTAATTATAATTGTAGCGGATTATAATTATCGATTCCTCGTATGTATGTGATATTTTGCTGTGGGAGCGTCGGTTTCGAAACGGGAAACATTCCAGATACCTTTTGGGTAGATTTTTTTACCAACATATCGGAAAACTAGCCTATTTTATTCACTCGAAATTGAAACATAGTTTGATCCGAACCCCACAGCGTATTCAAGGCTGTATGCAACTTAGTATGTAAGACGTATGCTCGTTATTTTGTATGTAAGATTGTAAGTATATATTTTTGAAAATTTTTATTTAGTGCGATAAGGTTTCCCATAACATGATACGTAGGCCTATACGTGTTGTTTTCTTTTAAGTTCACGTGGAAAGTTATCGATTGTTTTAATTGTGAAAACGGCGAAGTTTGCTGAGTATATTAATTAATTAATTAATTTTGAGCTTGTTTTTTTGCCTTTACGAATTCGGCGCGCTAATGCGGACAGCCAGATATTCAGCAAACTAGTTTTAAATTGAAATAAATAACCATTAGGATATCAGGAATGCAAAAGGGTTTAACAGCTCTTAACAGTTTTTCCGATTAATTTGTAATGAATACACCGGCAAAATTCTTAAACCTCACTAACCAGTGCAAACAACTCAGTTAATATTTCCTCAGTGAAACCCTTTTGCTTGCTGGCTTAGTATTGTGAACAAGTAGGATTTTTTTTATTTTGGGGCATCAATACACCTAAAGTCATTTGAAAAATCAATCAATCTCTGGTCTGTTCAAACCCATTGTCCAAATCCTTTCCGCATTTTCAACTTCAAACGCAATTCCGCATATCCAGGGTGTGTAGTAAACGCGCCCAGATTTTTGTATCCTCATTTGTTCTTTCCAGGTCTGATTTCTGTCCAGTAAGCAAGCAGATGTAAGTTGGCGTGTGAAAGTATTGAGATGGTGCTAATGACTGCGGAAGGCTTACGTGTTTCGTTTTGCTTGTGCCATGGTTGTTACCGCTCATTTTATAGGAAGTTTTCACTTTGCTGCTGATTAAAATCGAAATAGAATGAGTTTCGTCAGCAGCTGAAGTGAACCTGCGTAAATTTCGAAGCGATGTTTGACAATAGTCCTTTTAGTGTGAAAATGAAGACTGATCCCTTATGATAGTGAATAAGTTTAGCTCAAATGCCGTTTGCGAGTTGTTGCATCAGGGCTTGCTGTCCGCGGCTCTATTCCAAGTGTTTTCGCCATGTTTTAGTACTATGTTTCGTTGAGGCTGTTCCAGGCGATTGTCACTTACTACCGATCAGAAATTCATATTCTGGAACATCTTCGACGTGTTCGAATGTCGGTCATTGTTTCATTGGCTTTACCTAATTTGAATTGTCGATTAATAGTTGAATTTTAGAGGAAAACTGAGTCGAGTTTCGATTTTGTTTTATGCACGCCCGTTTATCTAGCGTACATACATATACTTTCCACTGTGAAATCAAACGTTATGAAGGAGATTTTGTAGTTCGCATATCAGGAATAAAATCTCATTTGGGTTCAACGAGTTTTATTTCTTAAATGCTCCCCTACGGAAAGCCCTAATGCTATTGAAGAGTCGAGTAAAATATTGCTTGACCGAAAATACTCGAAAGATGTTCAAATTACAAAGATTACACTATTTAATGTAGTCCAGAGGTTGCAATTGAACGAGTTCTATTGCTCTGAAGTAAACTAGACAAAAGGATCGCAGCTACAGAAAGAAAATACCGTGGCGAGCAAGAACCCGGACCGAAACAAAATAACTGTTCCGTTCCGGTTTAGAAAATAATTTCCAATTTCTGTTTCAAATGTTTCTTTATTGGTGATCGAAAAACTAAAAGAATTTTAAAAATAGTGTATACACGTATGGTGTTTGTTCTTTTCGATTGAAAAGTCGGTTGGTCCTCACAAATAATTGTTTCTCTAAAATTCAAACGTTACAAGCAGAACCGAAATAAAATATTTCGGTTCCGGTTCAGCACCTAACAGTGTGTTAATATCAAGAGCTATAGATGTTGAAGTACAAATTGCGAAGAAAAATAATCCTAATGTAACCTGATTAACCACACAATAAAAATCCTGATAATTATTCAAGAGAGTCCAGATCTAGGCTTAACCAAGCTTTAAAAGCGCAGTGACCATACATAAAAAGTTGCCAAAAATTCTCCGATGATAGCACGATGTTAACAATCATTTAAGTAACAATTGCGATAATCTTGCAAAGCGCATTTTCGCACCCAAGTTTGTGAATTTGCCAAAGAATCCCTGATGTCGACAGCAGTTCGAAGCTTTCCAGAATTCAACAGCACAGTTTTCGTTCCAAAACGGCAAAATTTGCCTGGAATTCTTAAAAAAAACGTTCCTAATCAGTTTCTCAATGGAGAAATGCGACAAAAAACAAACAAGAGCAGTAGTTAAAGGGTTTCTGGCCTCTAATGGTCGATTTTTGGAACCACCGGTTAAATTTTACCAGAAAACACCTGAATTAAGTCCAACTTCAAACAAAAAATTATTTAAAAAATACTCCTAACTAACGTAAAAAAAAGACGACGTAAGACTAGTCGTAATGAAAAATCGAATAAAAGCGTGTTCGCGTTTTATGGATATCCAAAAGGTGTAAATTATGTACATGTTCAACACGTTCAGCTTATTTTATGGTCTACTTTACACTGAAACGGAGTGAAAATTTGAACTTGCGTCAAAACATGCCCATCTGATCGGGATGATAATTTACTTCTGCGTTTTAGGAGAAAAAAATAAAGCATTTTTCCCAATAATATGAATAGTAGTTAGATATCGCCGGATAAAATGTACTTTTCCAATGAACATGAAGACATAGATGTACCAAACTAGCTTAAGCTAAACTTAAGCCCAAGTGATCCACTCACACATTTCGTTACTGTGGTCAGGTTCCATTGAAATATTTCGTTGTTAAAACTGAGTTTCGTTTGGTAGGTAAAAGTTTGGGCACATAACTCTGTCAACACCTCAGTTGGATACTTCGCAATGAAGAAATCGAATGTTGAGGTTGACGCCAGCTTTGGAGCCGGAAAAACCCTTCTGGCAGGTAAACCAATCAACTCTTCGACCATTTCGGGACTTTTTGCGGTGGATAACATTGTCTAAACGTTGTTCGTTTTGATGTATTATTGTGCGAAACGATCCTTTTCCCAAACAGGAAGTAAACAGAAATAAATTCGGCCATAAATACATCTATCCACTGACCGGTCGTGTTCGTTTGAATGCACATAAAGGCAGTTTTGTGAAACACATGGGGGTTTGGTGGTAAAGGCATCAATTAGCAGAATTGGTTCTGTTCTGCAAGTTGGTTCCAAAAGAAATCGATTTTATGGGGCATAAATATGCATGTCAGTATACGAAATACTCCGCTATCTTGTGTGACTAAACATGATCAGAGCTGTGTCAAAAAATGACAAAACAAATATCGAGCAACCGGTTTTCAGTTCACCAAAATTGTTGCTTAATTAGAAAAGTACACATTCCTTGAAAGACTTTCAGTGGCGTCTCTTAGAAACGTTTTGTAGAACAGCAGGCAAAGCGACCTTTCCAAAACCTTGAAAATTGATGCAAACTTCTCTTAAGCCAATGCGATTATTTATGGGAACCATTTGTGTATTCGTTAACTTGATAAATGGGCCCCTTAGAACTGAACCCTCTAATTCAATTGATACCCTGCAAGAAAATTGAGGCTCAACTGCACAGAAAATGTCGAATTTTATGTATAATATGGCCATATTATGGTAACAAATATGGGCAAAATGTGTCGAATGCGCACGTGGCAGACTAGCCCATATAAGCCAATCTGTCTCGTTGTTTAAATGACATGCGCAAGTGAGTTTGAGGTTACGCTAAGCAAAGCAAACGTCTATAAGTTTCATCAAACTTCTATCATTTTTTCAACAACTAAATGGGTGGATTTATAATTGATTAATTTATTGTTTTTGCCAAACGATTCGTGTTTTGTGGATTTTCAGGGGCTAGGAGCAGTCCGAATAATTAATTTTTTAATTGTTTTTTGCTATTTATTGTTTATTGCATTATTAGGGGATAGCACGTTAAAAAGTTGCGTGTGATCCTGGCCAAACCATTTAGATCATATTCATTCAATCATACGGATGTTTCGGTAGAGACAGTGAATATGATACAATAACTCTTTTATAGTTCCCCGTTTTGGTAAATAGAAGTTTCAACAAGAAGAAGCTGGTGTGTACACACTGGATGAAATTCAATCAAACAAGTATTTGTAAATAAGTGTGTGTGTATGTCACGTCTAAACACACTTATTTACAAAAACTTGTTTGACTGAAATAGAAGTTTGTTTTGATTAACGTAACTTCAAACTCAATTGGGCATGTCATTTAAACATCGGGCCAGGTTGGCTTATATGCGCTAGCCGCGTGACAGCTACGAATGTCTACTGAACGGAGCTCCGTGCGCTGTTGCCGTGTGGTATATATAAAGCGCTCAACATAATTTGGATATATCATGTTCAATAAATATGGGCAATAGGTAGTAAGCCGGGCATACAATATGGCGTATTTTCTACCAGGGTACAAAAAAGTCCTTTACTTACCAGAGAACCAAAGCAAAATTCAGCCATTCCTTTGAAGCCAGTGCTCTGAAACAATAAAAAAACAACCGTATTTTTTTGGGCAAAAACTCAATTTTTTCCAGTTACGTCAATGGTAAGTGGTCACTTCTACGCATAGTCTGTTTAATGTCGGGCGCTAATTGAAAAAATAAACAATGTCAAATGTGTTTCTCTGAGAGCTGCTGTACCTTTGGTTGAAAAACGCAAAAAGCAAATACGGTTTCAACATTACCGGGAACGATTTAGGACCGTTAAGACGTGATATTTATGGTTTGATCATGCATTAGGAATGAAGAGTATTTGTTCATTTAGTTTATACAAAAAGGGAGCACTTAGTCGAAAAAATGCATTGATGAACTCAATGAAACCTCGTGCGGCTCTTTGGGCACTTTGTAAATCTGCTTTCAAATATGAGTATGCAAAGTAGTTGAGAAAGCAAACTTCTGTGATTTGTAACACTAGTCCATTTTTTTTATTAAAAAGTCACTGAAAGTTAGAAAATTACAGCTCACGAAACATTTTTCCTCGTTCTCTTACGCATTTGTGCAACTGAGATTTATCGCTAGTGAGATTTATCACCCATCCTTTCTAATCGTGTTAGGCTACGGTTTCAGTCTTCTAGTCTGGTTAAAGCGAAAGTAATTTTTAGGGAATTCCTCAAGAAAGGTCCAGTCTGCGCTAAGAAAAGTGACAAATTCAGCACGTTGTTACAATTTTCACACAAAACAACCACCGGATCGTCTCTTGCAACAGGGCAGCAGGCATACGGGGTTGCAAATTTCTACAAAACAGTTTGAGAAATTTTGATGAAACTTTGTGGGTAGTGAAGGCTGTAAGAAGTGCTTAATTTAGACTATTTTATTTTTAAATTTTCACCAGCGGCGTACCTGCTGTTATGTGATTGGATAATTTAGAAAAAAAATGGCACGACACTGGTTTTCTGAAGAATAAAAAACATGTTATTTGATTGTTCAATTCCGAAAAAAAAGTGCTCTTTTATTTCTGTAGTACCACCAACCGTTTTGAGGCAAAAACATTTCGCGAAGCAAAAAACGCTTTTGCGGTAACTGGGGTTTGAACTTTGTCTTTCCTGGATTAAACAATTCGTTCTCAACCTGTTCCAAAACGGCAAAATTTGCCTGGAATTCTTAAAAAAAACGTTCCTAAGCAGTTTCTCAATGGAGAAATGCAACAATTAGAGCAGTAGTTCGAATAAAAGCGTGTTCACATGTTTTATGGTTATCCAAAAGGTGTAAGTTATGTGCATGTTCAACACGCAAATTGCAGTTTTATACCGGCCCAAAACCTGCAGTTCTTTGCAAAAATTGAGAAAGCAAACTACTAATTGTAAATTGTAAATCCAGTCCATTTTTTTAAATTAAATTTTTCTATGTTTTTTTTCGAGTTTTCGAAAAGTACTTAAGAAGGACTGAAGTTGCTGATTTACATTTCGAAGCTTGGTCGATTTAGGAAACTAGGGCTTTCTAAAGTTGCTCAAAAAGTTCAAGAAACATGTTTCATTTTTTTCTCTTCCAAATTAGTGGGTTTTATCGATGTTATCAAGCATCATTTTAGTCTAATTTAGATGATAAATTCAGAAGATTCCTGCGATTTTCGCACAACCTTTTAGTTTTGTCTTATGTGTAGACAACTTCGGTGTTTCACAGCAAATTTTAAGTTAAGAGCCGTGCCTAATTGCCTTACGTAATTTTATCACGGCGCCACGTTTCGGTTTAGGGTCCAAACTGACCGAAAAGGTGCAACTTTTGCCTGGAATTCTCCAAACACAGTCCTATTCAGTTTCTCAATGGAAGAATGAAATAATTTTCATGGTGGTTTTTGGAAATGTCCTACCCTGAGCTCAACTGGTGGATTTTTGGAATCGCTGGTTAATTTTAACAAGAACAGGCCTGAACTTTTCACCAAAAATCTATTCAAGAGCTGCAGCTCCGACGACATCTTCATCGCGTACCGGTTTATGGGGTTTCGGTCCCAAAAAAAAGATTATTTACGACCGCTTTAAATCGAAAGCTCCCTGTTAGATAAAAAAAATCGTGCTGCCATTGTAAAAATATATATTTACATTTTATGTCGTCCCACATCGCTTATGGAAACAGTTGGAAGCTTTCAGAAATCACCAACATTCGTGCGTGTTGAACAAGAATCAACGGACAAACGGCCGTTCAACATAAAATCCTGCTGGACATCAAACGAGCCGAAAGGATGTTTCTTTACCAGTTCCAAGGGGTAATAAAGACATTAAGGCGAGAGTGCTCCTGACCGGTGATTTTTTCCGAAACATGCTGAAGGTCTAATAAAGTCCGAGATGCCGCAACCAGCGCCTTCAAAGTGCCGGCGATTTTGGATGATAACAAGAAGGCATGTTGAGGTAGTCGACAAAGACTATCAGACAAATCAAATATTACAAAATAGCCAGAAATCAGCGCTTTCAGAGCGCTCATATTATATGATTATGCTTACAAAAGTTTGATGAATTTTTGACGCTTTTGCTTGAAAACCATCGGCAGAATTTGTGATTTTTCGTCCTTTTATGACCGCAATTACCTACCATCTATGTAAATTTGCAGGCAAATTGCACAGTCGTCCCAATATAGAAATTATATGAAGGATGGTCCTCAACTAATGTGGCATATTGCTTTAGGAAAATATTGCGGCAAAGATGTCTTGTCCGAGTGGTCTGGAGTAATTTAAAGCAGCAGAGCTTTTAGTCTTAAAATATCCCTTTTTTCTTGGCATAAGGTATCTCGGCTTCCGATCTTTGCTAAACCAAACTACTTTACTACTTTGCCTCAAGAAATATTCTGCTTAAATTTTCAATAAACCAAAACTTATCAAACATTAACAGTATTTTTTTAGGCACGTTAAGAACGGTTGTAAACGACTTTTTAAACTAGGCAAATTGTTATTTCACAATAATTGTTCAAACCTGAACAATTACAAGACATTTATTCATTCTTTTTCAAAATGATTGTCGTATTGAAAAAAATAATTGATGTTTCAGAAGTATTTAGCAGCATTTGGAACTTTTATGAGCCGTTATTCATTGGAAAATAGGTTCCATAGGGGCATTTTCAATAAAATCAAAGTGCTTTTTTTGAGTTAGTTGGAAAAATCACTAGTGATTTCAATGTCAATTACTCGAAAACGGTGAGAGATACCGGCTGGAATCAATATAAGTTTTTGTTAATAAAACATCGGAGAACACGATATTGCCATAAGAAATAAGTATCTACGATATTTAAGAACCCAAAAGAGTTATAATGTTTCAAATGGCTCTAGGAACTACAAGATAAGTACCAGTGTAAGTGTTGATATCTCGCTGTAAAAACTCCAATTCGCACATTTTTTGCAAGCAGTAAAACGGATTAAGACTCTGCTCAACAGACCGAAAACAGTTTGCGTGAAACCCAAAATTTGAGCCTAGAAAATGTGCCAGTGAATTTGGTTGCATTAGTTGTTTGAAGGGAATCAAATTTTCCCATTTTGAACGTTTATTTAACTAGAGTGGTTCAAAATTGGTCGACAAAAGGTAAAAATCGAAACCATTTTGATACCCCGCTGCGAAGTGGTTAAAACACCAGCCATTTTGGGTCTAGAATAAACATTTTTTGTCCCTTCAAACCTTGTGGGTGGTCGCATTTTTGCGTAACATTTAAACATATTGGACTTGCAATTAAATCAAATATTAAATTTGAAATTCTCTAGAAGTTTTGCATCGAGAATTTTCAGTCTTCACTAAGTAGGGCCAGGGACAAATTTTCAATTGGTTTGGCAGGGTAGCAGTCAGACAAAAAATAATCAAGATCGGGTCTCGGCAGCGTGAATTGTACATGGTAGTTTGTTTTACCATCGATTCCCAGAAGACAAAGTACCCACATTCGGGTTGGAAAAAAAATCGAAAAGGGAAATTGGCCTCCATCATAAATTGTTCAATATGGTGACGTACACGCGCTGCTCCATGGTACCCGTCGACCAATCCGAATCGCTGACCACTCGAAGAGGTGGAGCGACTGGTTGAGGACCAGAAACTTAAGTTATTTGCCCGATAATATAGCACCAGTTATTCGAAATGCTTCAGAGCAGTTAACGGGTCGGTGTGAAAAATTGACAAATACTAAAAGAATACAGTGGTTAATTGGAAAAAATTTACACCAGCAGTGAATGTATACATATTACATAAACACATTGGGACTTATTGGAGCTTTAAAATTTGTATTAATTGTGAAAGAGGACTTAATGAGTGTTTGTGTTTAGTGAAGTTTTTTATGCGGGGGAGGACTACAAGTGCATGCAGTGAGTATTCAGTGTTTATTCGTTAATATGAGCCGCAATACCCAAATTGATTAGAAAATCCATTAAAAGTAAGAATGTCACGCAAAAGGTACATACAGTGGGCGCAAAAGGAAATGAGAAGTACCTACGTAGTTTCAACATGACTGATTTCTATGTTCAAAAAACGGGAAATTAATTAATACAACAGTGTACTGTAAACGGCGACAACTCAACTTATAATGGGTCTTTACAGCACTTTTGTTTGAGATTGGGCTGCTATTGCTCTTGATGGGCGCACAGTTCACAAAATCATCAAACCGTCGGAAAACGTGTTTCAGTATTCAAAAACTATTATCTTAATTTCCAATTCAGAAAAGCAAACAATCATTGCAAACCAGCAAACTGAGTTGAATATATTTGATAAATTTATTTAAAAACCGGAAAAGCCAAATACAAATTCTATTAACTATTAAAATAAGTTTGCAGTAGGTGAGCAGGAATGTCCGTTTTTCAATTTTCAACATTCCTCAGCCACACTGATAAAAATATGCAACTTTTGCCTGGATTTTATGTTTATAATTATATATCTATACTTGTACTTTATTTTCAATATTTAACTTTTGACCATCAAACTTTTAACTTTTGTGACCAGGCGACGGACACTAGCAGCGTGCAAATAGCAAAATAATGAAATAATACGGGTTGAACTACTATATTGATACTTGATTATAACACTAAACTTGATTAAACTTCTACTTGATTATAACACATTTTGCTGCATCTAGAAAAAATCTATATATTCGATCACTCAACTCTGAACTCTATTCACTATTTTTCTAGAAATGCCATTTTGTAAAATCGAAAATGGGTAGTTTCCGACGGCGGCTTCACTTGCCGCGCCATTTCATGCCTCACATGTCTGAGGGTAAAGTGAGGTCTAAGAGTTAGAGTGTATAACACTAAGGGCTTGAGATTTCTTAGTTTTACTATAGTTTTTGTAGGTAAGCGTAATTTCTTCTGAACATATCGCCTACGACTTTGTCCAAAAAAAATACATGTGGTTGCTTAGTGTTTAGCAGTCAAGAATTTTTTTGTTGGGAATATTGTTTAAAGCACTCGCTGTTTGCAAAATACAAAAAAGTGTTCCCATAATTTTTCTGGTAGTTTTCCACATATTTGCTTCAAACACATATCGCGATGGATTAATCATAAATACTAAGTTCGTTCTTTACGCATGTGTATGTTTGGATTCATCCGTGGTGAACTTTGTGGGAAAATACGTTTCGTATCAATGGAAACTACATGAAACTAAAATGGATGCAAAACGCAGCTGGTAGGGCCAAAACGAGCAAGAAATCGGCATTTTTTACGTGAAACACTACAAGAAATCAGTTCGGGGTAATGTTGAAAAACTGCAAACATTTGCGATTTTTCAAGGTGCATTGACCTAACGTTCTCCCTGCACCTTGGTACACTTTCTTTTATACTTACTTCAGCAGGAATTTTGAAAAATCTTGGAAAATAGGCACACATTTCACATAAGATATTTTTGACGTGTGTCAACACTGACCGCTCTGTCAGTACAAAAGCGGCTTTCGCCAATAGTCGGTTTCCAACCAATAGGCAACCAACATTACACAATCACATTTGAATTGCAAATTGATCAACAAAAATCACTGCAGAGTTTCGTTTAGAGGCGTGTGATGGAGGGTTTGGTGTTTCTGCTTAAAAGAGTTGTTTGCTTGATCTATGTGAACAGTCAAAAAAGTGACTTTCTGCCACTTTGCATGTCATAGTTACACAGTAGACAACTAACATTACGCAAGCGCTTTAATTGCAATTTAACAGTAACATGGTTCAAAGGCCTCGAATTCGAAAATTCGTCAAAAAAGTTACCGAAGCGTTTGATCGAGGGAGTGAAAATTGAATAAATGTTCGTTAATCTTGGTGTTTTTGGAAATAGATGAATAATCAAATACCTATCGACTGGAACGTTAATTCCAATCCGAGCAAAGCTCTGGAACGTAATGACTAATTTTTCTATCAATCCCCAAAAGGAAAACACGCGATTTGTCATCAAAAAGCTCAAAACATCCTGGTTACGTTGAAATATACGTGCCGTCGCCATTTATCCCCTGTTTGTTCTGCCACCTCACGAGTTTGCGCTATCGATTAGGACGATTAGAAAAACCGTTTTTAGACCAATAATGGCAAATCTAATTAAAAGTATTTTAATTCTGTGTACCCAATCGTTTAGAGGGCGTAATTCAGTCTTACCGAAAACATTTTATTTCGTTTCGTCATCGAAATCGACCAAAGGTGATAATCGGGTCCATTGTGACGTACCTCTTTGGTGGCCAGCACAATTCCAAACTTAGCGCTTATGGATTTTGCGAGTGTTACCCAGTAACAGTATATTAAGTAAACACTTTTTAAACGTCTTTTAGACCAAGTACACTGTCTGAGTAAAGCTTTAACTAGTGATGAATGAGACCTCTTAGTTTTGCAGTCTTGGCCTTGGAAAAAGACTTAGACCAAGACTATGTATGCAAGAACAAGGCTCAAGATCAGTTCATTTTAACAGAAAACCCATCAAACCAAATCAAATGTAAAATTCGCCTGATTTCCAACTCTCATCTAAGTCAATATTGGTAGTGTTATTAAGGAAACGGAGCTCGATTATTGATTTGACATTGCAGGAGATGGCCGAAGGTTGTTTTTAGAAAACACGCTTTGCATCTTGATAGAATAAGCAAATAAAATTGGTGACGAAGATGAGGAACGAAATGCCCCAAAATGTTGGTATATTATGCTGCGGTAACTTTTCACGCAAAACGCATTTTCATACTCAAGTTTGAAAATTTTCCAAAAAATCCCCGATAACGACAGCAGCCCGAAACTATCCGAACTTTTAGAGCACACTGTTGCTCTACCTGATTCTCAACTGCGCAAATGACTACCGCCTCAGTTTCTGAGAAAATCACTTTCAACAAGGATGTGCAGCAACACCTTGCACAGGCCAAACTTTAAAAAATTGCAAAAAAATCCCTAATAACGACAGCAGCTCGAAACTCTCCGAACTTTTAGAGCACACTTTTGATCTATCTGATCCTGAACTGCGCAAATGACTACTGCCTCAGTTTCTGAGAAAATCAATTTTAACAAGGGTGTGCGGCAATATCTTACATAAGTGTCATCTGATGATAATGTGCATTTTTTTCAGATTTCACAAATGGCCCAGCATATATTAGCAATGATGGATACAAATCTACGATATAAGGAAGATATCCGAGAGGAAAATATATCAGTTACGTTAGATGAACGAGATTTATGGGTCAGATTCAAAAATTTAATCAATGAGATGATCGTCACGAAAAGTGGCAGGTAAATATTAACCACCCAACATTTCACATTGTAATCACCATTTCCAATATACTCGGACCTTGCGGGGCCGACTATTTGTATTATTAATAAAACACATTAAAATCTATCTTAGAATTTGGACAAAGCAACCCAAACACAACCCGTGGATATTTTATGTGCGCACTCATGACAAAATATCGTTTTATTCTCTGTTTGCGCAAATAATGAATGGGTTTTATGGGTGTTTTTTTTATTTTCGTTCTTGTCTTGCTGGCTCCAATTCAGTTTGGGCTGAAAGCTTTTTGACCTCCTTGACTGTATCAATATTTGATCTCGAGGAACCACAAGAGAAGCCTTTGAATTTTAAATTACCTGATTCGGGGAAATATTGTTTGGTCGTCGTTACGCAGTTGGAACGATTGGAAATGTATCAATTAACAATTATTTAAAAAAGTGCCTAATAACAAGTTCTCAGTCATTTATTGCTTTTTCAGGCAAAGTTTCTTTCTTTAATGAATAAACCGTCCAAAGTTCATCGCGAAAACAAGCACACTTTATCCAGATCAAAGGTGTTGACATTTTTTTGCCCTCGAATCCAAGGACGAAAAATAAAGAAATCGTTCAACAAATTCAGGTTTTTCGTTAAGAACCTGTAACTTGCTTAATAGAATTACGAAATTACCTTCAATGTCTCATAATAATCGAATCAGTTTGGTTCATTGCTGATTACACTGAAAGATCAGGATTTTTCCTTGAAAATGGCAAATTGAATGCGTTTTGATTGAGAATTTTATCATTTATCACTTCTTTTCTTCTATTTCATTCTTCTGACTTTTTTAAATTGTAAAATCTATGTAATATGAGTCCAGATTCTTGTCCTTATTTCTTGCCGCTTTATAAATTCTTGCTAACGTTATTAATTAATTCTTTCCAGCAAGTTTAGTGCAAATGTGCGAAAAATCGAAGACGTTTTATCCAAAATGGAAAGGACTAGTAATTCCAACAAACAAAAACAAAAATTTAATTTTATTAAAACCAGCTTAATTAAATCAAAATTATTTTTTTGACACGTCAAAAACCATTTAGAAGAGTGTCAAATAGTAAAGCAGCAACAGCTCCAAAAACACACACATTGTGAAGGAAACTTGCGCAAAAATTGCAACAATATTTTCGCATTAATTGGCTCAGTAACGCAAATCAGGCCAAAGTAAACACAATTTAAAAAAAAAAAGGACGATTTTGCTATCATCCTTTCATTTCAAGCTCATATTCGTTTGACTGAAAATTGAAGACAAAAATTTATTATCTGAACCAGTTCGAAACCATGACGAAACTTGAAGCTATCGGTTAGTACGGGGCTTGTGATATTTAGCGCAAATTTATTTACATTTGCTTTTCTTCGCTAAAATATTTACATAACCAATATATGAATGTATGTGTAAAAAGGTAAGAAAATGCCCTCAAAAATGTCAAAGTGCTAACTTGTCAAATTGAACAAACTAGTCACCAAACAAAAACTGGTCAGATTGACAGTTTTTTACTTAATATAAAAATAATTTAAAAAAGATGAGATTCCCACACATATTTGCACAATAACGCTCTCCAATCGATAATTCAGTCGTAAATTAATGATCTTAAAATAATTTCGAGTATATTTTCGATTGATTAGCGGGTAACTAACAACGAAAGTAGTAACTATGTGTTAATTTCGGTGTTAATTCGTGGCATCCACTATAAAAGTAAAAGTTTATTGAGGAAGAAATGCGACACCTTAAAATAATATCTACATTTATCGATTTCGGACTGACAAACCAAAATTGTATGACAGTTTCTATGATTTTAAAATATTTAAGTAGAAATTACAAAACCAACAATTAATAATGGCGGTGTTTTTGATGTACACGGAGGCTCAAAAGTACAAGTGAGCTTTTAAAGGTCGCCCTTAGAACATGAAGATACCTACGAGTTAGATTTTCTACCATATTGAGGCGGTAATTTTTTCACATTTAGCTTCAAATGAGAAAAGGAGTCAACAAGTGGATACAGACGTTTACTTTTGAACATCCATGTGGTTTTCTTGAATAATCGTTGGATTCTTAATTAGTGGCAGTATCTAAATATTTGTGTGATTTTTCAACGCAATTGAAAAAAGAAATAAAATTGAAAGCGCAAAATTCTTAAAGTCATTGAAGCTACAGACAGGTTTATGTAAGAGAGAACGAAATTTGAATCCGAAACACTTTAGCTTGAACGGAGCGCAATTAATTGGGCTCTTAAATGTTTCTGCACATCTACACAACTGAAAACGACGAAGATATTTGGCTCTCAAACGCACTTTTTAGATGCGGAAAATGCTTAAAGATATCGAAGCTACAGACCGATCTATGTAGAACACTAGTTAACTTGAAAAGAGCACAATTAATTACACTGTTTAGCTTTTAAACTCAACTGAAAGAAACGGAGATATTTGACTTTCAACTGCACTTTTTAAAGGCGGAAAATTCTTAGAGATCGCGAAGCTACAGGCGAATTTATGTAGGAGGCACTAGAAATTTGAAATCCGAAACAGAGAAGCTGAAAAATTGAAAATGTTAAATCTTGTCATCTCTTTTTGCATCTTTAACTTGATGCTGCAGCTTTGATAATAATATCTATAAACTAAGGAGAAAGATTGGAAACGAAAATAAAATGCACCTGAAACTTTCTATGGAAAGCAAATTGACTTCTCCATAAGCAAACATTTCCGCATAGCTTTACTTTAGTGAAAATCGACTAAACCATCAACTTAATTTCAGGAGAATGTTTCCAGTAATAAAAGTGATTGCAGCAGGGCTGGATCCGAAATCAATGTACACAGTGTTATTGGAATTTAAGCAGATGGATTCACATAGATGGAAATTCGTGAACGGCGAATGGACACCAGGAGCAAAAGCCGAAGCGCCGCCCGTAAATCCGATTTACGTACACCCAGAAAGTCCGAACTTTGGCTCGCATTGGATGAAAGAACCAATATCATTCGCCAAGGTAAAGCTGACCAATAAAATCAATGGTAAGTAATAACGTTAAAGATTAAGAAGCAAAACATTGTTAACTGATGGTTTTCTATTAGGCAATGGGCAGATCATGTTAAATTCCCTTCACAAATACGAGCCGCACGTGCATTTCGTCAAAGTGGCAACCGATTCTAGAAGAGGGCTGACTTTTCCATTTCCCGAGACGCAATTTATTGCTGTTACTGCTTACCAAAACGAAGAAGTCACGTCGTTGAAAATCAAATACAATCCATTCGCTAAGGCATTTTTGGACGCCAAGGAGCGACCTGATGTTGCATATCATCAGAGAAACGAAAACTTTTCGACTCCGTATAATCAGTCGAACCACCCAGCCCAATATTCTCAGTGTAAGTCTTCCAGCGCCTACTTTCTATTGGGCTTGTATAATAAAGTTTAATTTTCTTCAGACGGGTCCTGGTTTATTCCGCACCAGTCCATCTACTCTTCACAGGGCCAATTTGAACCCTACCACCAGCGTCGAAACTGTGGGAAACTGATTAGGCAGAAATCTGCGCCTTATTTGCTGAATAGGGATAAAAATTCTCCTTCAGAATCACCACCACCAACTGGTAAGCCAACATTATAGTAGTCAGTAAGTCAACTTTCATATTCGTAGATGTGTTATCAGAGATGCAAGGTGTCAAAGTTCTAAAAAAGCGTTTTTTATGATATTTTACAAAAAGGTTCATTTAATTCTCAAAACATATTCTACGCCTCGCGCTTTAGCAGATAGTTGCGTAATGATTTAAACAGTTTTAGCTTAAGATCAGTGGGGCGTTAACCTGGGGAGCCTCCCCATTTTTTGCTCCTATTTGCTACGCTATTTTAATATAAAAAAATATTTTTAAGGTTTATCGGTATTTCTAAGAAAAAACTGTTCTGGAACAGGGGGATTAGTTTTCAAAAATGTAGGCCTTCAATTTCATATACAGGGTGATTCAAAATTGGCGTCATTCCTCTAGGGATGTTGTCTGGCGGTGTTATAGGAGTACAGAAGAACTAGTAAAAGAAATTAATTGTTATTAAAAACTGAGAAATTTGCAAAAAACTATATCAGAAATACGGCAGCAATGTTTTTCAAGGTAATCTGCCTAATTAACATTACGCAAATACCTGTGGCTTCGTAATTATTTAAAATTCCGGTAACCATGGATAAATAGAAAGTGACAATAAGATAGACAAGGATAAACGGTAAATTCAACAGGAATCGTTGAATGACGGAACCTATTTCAAAATGTCAACCTGTTCTCATAACCTCGCATTGAAAGGGAATTCAAAGTAAGTCACAGTTTGACAGATTATTGTTATTATTGACAAGGGATATCCACCTGTAACTATCTGTTAATGGCAAAAAACATCATTGCCTCTGTGCCTTTTCATCAAAAAATTGYAGAACAGAACTTTTTCAATGTCGAAAATTTTCGTAATTTGAAGCAAAGATGGTAATTTTTTCTTTTTGAATGCTTAAGTATTCCAATACGCTACCAATTAAACATGGAACAATTTCAAAATAATGCTTMATAGCAAAGTTGAAATTCGATCTTSAACTGTTAATAACTTYTAGAAATTTTCGAAAAAAATATTTTCAATATTYTTCTAGTACTCCCCATGTCAGCCTCCATCACCCCTTAAAAGGAATGACGCCAATTTTGAGTCACCCTGTATATAGGATAGGCAAACTATCAGAACATCGATGTTTGTTTCAAACATCAATGTCAGAACATTGATTGTTCTGCCTTCGATGTTTCCCTAACATCGATATTATCTTTCGATGTCAACATCGATGACTATCATTGATGCTTTAGGATCGATGTCCCATTCCTACCCGAGACGAAGTCGAGTCGGATTTTTCCCCTCGTATCGAACAACATTTTTTATTCGAATAAAASACATAACACGAATCATAAACGAAAATAGCCAAAAATAAACGGCGTCAACTTCATATTTAATGTCAATGCCATTTTTTAGAGTGTCACGTTTTGACGTTTGTCATTTTTCAAAAGCGTRCTTTTGTAAGCATATAATACAAGTGAAACAATGAGTGTTGAAAATTCAAGTGCTACTTTCACGTTATGGTGTTTGTATAAGATGCATATTTTACATGAAATTTGCGCTATTTGAAGAAATCATGTTTTGCCTGTGGCAACATCGGCGAGGGCAGAAAAATAAACCATTTGAACGACTTTGAGACTGAACTTGTAACAAAGTTTTAATGTAGAAATTGTAAGTAAACTTTAAATTATAATCAATAGTCGTCAATAAACCTACGTAATTCATTAAAAAAGCGTATCGGTTACTTTTTAATGAAAATACTTAAAAAATATAATAACAGTGGCAGGTTTAATTTGCCACATTTACCATGTTACACGTACAGGGTCAAAAGTTATTGTTCCAAAAATATCGACTTTCGTATAAGGAGGCATTCTTTCACCAATAGCCACCATTTGACGTGTACTCCTTCTTAATGAGTCACCCTGTACATCAAATTGATTCCCAAGCCGATAGAAAAAAGAACCTGTTTGCTCTGAAGTCACATTGCAGCTAGTTGTACTCTCACACAGTATTGTATCTTCATAATTGGTTGTGGATAAATAAATCGATTTTTTGAGAGTTACTCACGTTACATTTTATTCTAGGTTACAATCCCCCGGAACACATCTACCAGCAGCAAATCTACAACTCAGCCAACACGCCGTACCCGAGCTGGTCATCTATGCCTTCCATGCAGGCGGCGCCCGTGGCGCCCGCGGCGTCTCTTATTTCGCCCATCAACTGTTGGTCAAACTCCTCAACGTCGCCGCCCATCACAAATCAATGCACCACTCCAAACCAGTCGCCCAGTCCCCAAATGTACCAGTCATCTCCTACCTACCCACCTAATGTGCCTCCACCCCTACCCAGCGTGCATTGCGCAAGCTACTACTCCTCGGATATCACAAGCTACCAACATCCTGAGTACTTGATGAATGCAGACCTGACATACACTCAGCTGGGAGGTACCGACAGGAGCAGTTCAGTCATTTACAAGCCCGAGCATGAGCAAAGCTTGGGGAGTGGCAGCCAGATCGTTGGGATCAAGTCTGAGTGCCCAGGACGAGCGGATGATGCAAGCGAGTCTGCCCAGGTCGCATCAAGAGAGTGGATGCAAGAGAGGAGTAGTTTACATAAATAAGTGTTTTGTCCGATTATATGGGTTGCCTATGGACATCCATGGACACGACGGATTACGACTTTATATCGTTATTTGTCGTTGTGTTATAATAAATTTTAATTGTATGTATAAAGATCGCAGAAGAAGTAAAGTCGTAATCTGAACTAAGAAAGTGCATTTCTGTAAAACTGATTTACTTTTGTAAGAGAGACGGACTCGTTGAAGTGGACCCTTCAATCGCAATTTTCAATATCCATTGTCAGTGCAGTATTAGTGCAAAACTCAAAAGTGAGATTATTTAATAGCAATTAATTAAACATGGTTACCAAACATAGCACTTTAGTGATTGAAACCGTTATGTGATCGACAATATATTACCGAAACAGAGAAGGACAACGTATAAAGCGATGTTTAACTGCAAAATTAAAAAATAATTTACCAGCAATGGCATAAAGAATAATCTTTGGTATCAGAGAGAAACGTGATCATTAATTAAGTGTTATGTTTGCACAGAAAGGCACACATACCATGAGAAATAGGTATATTTTGAAAATGATCTGAAGTTTGTATGTATGAGAACCTGTACAGAGTGTCTCGCTGATAAGAAAATACTGTCCTTTATTAATCTATTTTTATGTTTGAATGTTGAACGGCCAGACTTTTTAATTGTTAGGTGGTGCGATGTTCTCTCTTCTAAAACTCACAGAGTCACTAATCTTGAAGAAAATGGATTCGCAGAATTGGTTTTCTGATAACTGTGGCTGTTGGTTTAGAAGTTAGTTTAGTCTAAAGCTTAACGTCATTTATCAATGCGATGTAATTGGTTATGTTAACCACATCATCGGTAGAATAAAAAATTTTCTCTCCTAAGAGTTGCAGCAGAAAACGAAAAAGTTGTCAATTTCAAAATAAGTCTATATTTTCTTTAGTTTAGCGGGATACAGAAACAAGTTTTCATGCAAAGTTTTTTGAGGGCAGGTCAGGTAAAAAACTTCTTGGACCTTAAATCATTTGGTAAGGAAACACTGAGGATTTTACTCCGAAAAGAAAGCATTTTGAATTAAATTTGTCGTAATGTGGATGATAGTGGTTTTTGATTGATGTCCTCAAATTTGTTTTTTTTTGTAACAAAATTATTCAAAATGTCTATAGTTTTTTAATTTACTTGTTTGCGCCAGCCATTTCTTCCACTATTTGTTTGTTAAAATTTACTACGTAAGTTTTTCCAGCTGGAATATGAACATAGTTAAGTTTCTAGGATAATAGCGTTAGCTTAATGATAATAAGTGATTTAAAGTAGCAAAGTTGAAATAAATTACATTTACAAAAATGAGCTTAGGTCTAGTAACTTTTTTACATGACCGCGGATACGCGGAAAACTGCAGGTTATTCAACAATCATTGCAAAGAAATTCTTGCACGAAACATTTTTCTGCGTCTCTCAAGGGCGGATCAAGGGGGGGGTCATGGGGGTCATGAGGGTCATCCCCCCATTCAATTCTCTATCCAACGATG